TATAGCACTGCCATGTAATATCAAAACTTTTCATACAAAAACTATGAATAGACCTGTTTATATTTCATTATTATTATTACTATTATTTTTAATTAACTTATTAGTATAAAACTTCTATTAACCTTGATCATAATTAATCTCTATTGAGAAGTCTAATTACTTTCGGTGACATTTTCGCTTACAACCACATTTCTTTTTTCCCTTTGAATCAGAAGCGTTTGTTTCCCAAATTATATAAAAACTCATTCTTGAAAATATGAATATAAAAATATCATATTCCCATGTTCATTTGGGTTTTAAATAAATATTATTTGGTATCATTCATTTCAAAAGTAGTTACAAGATAATTTACTTCATTTTTATTTCTCATGTAGATGATGAAAAGGTTGTATTCACATAAAAATGTAAGAAATTATATATTTTAACTCACTTATTCTATTCTTATTTTTTATTTAATTATTTTAAGTAATTTAAATTTTAAAAATTTTCCTAAGAATGTTAAAATTCTACGTACTAAACACATTCATAAATATTTTTAGCAATAATATTATTAATAATAATATTTCCTGGATAATATAAGTATCGTACCTATAAAAAAATTGTATACGACTTTCGTGCAAATGAATTTGCAGTAAGGGTCTTAAAAAAATTGTGATGGATGCATAAACTTGCAGCTGTACGACAGCCCTGCCCTACATATTATGTGGGATTACATCATTTATCAAACTGGAAAGGGTAAAAGGATTGGACAATTCGAATACTCTTAATTCAGTTGAGGATCTTTTTGATTGAGTTCCTTTTTTCTTTTACCTTTATTATCTTTTGTTAATTATTTACAAGTGATACAAGACCTCAATGATTAGCACATCACTTCGATTTTATTTGTTCTATCTTTCCGGCTTTTAGTCAGGCTAATGATATGAAGCCCTAAACCCATAGATACTTGCTGAAGCAAAGCTAGACATGGGGAATATTTTGTGTTTGAGGGAGGTCATGCTCAAGAACTTTTTTTTAAAAAAATTTATATGTGTAAAAAGTAAAACTAATGAGTGTTTATTTGAAGTTATCTTATGATATTTTTTAAAATACATAAGTAAAGAATGTATGTGTTTTCATATTTGTTACAGTTATAAATTTTATTTTCGGACATAGAGTATTCCCAAAAATCAAATAACTTATATATATATATATATTTTTTTTTTATATTTTTATTCTAAGAGAAGAGGTAAATATATGTTGATTCTCATGACATGATAATTAAAGTTTTAATTTTTATCATACCCCTTTCATAAAAATATTCTCATCACTAATTAAACACATTTTTAAATATATCCAGAAGTGTCATTCACATTATTATACTCTTAAAAATATTATTTTCAGAAATGAAAGTTGATAATTTAAAACAAATGTCTCCAATGTCTTTTTTTTTTTTTTTTTTTCGTTCAATAAAACCCAAAGAAAAAACCAAATTACCCCAAAGGATTTTCAACTTTTTTTTTTTTAAAAAAAAAAATTGCTAAAGACATTAGACGATGCTATTTGATAGTGTGAAATTTGAATTCCATCATATAAGATAATATTATAATGCTAAACTGTGAGTTGGACAGCAATTGATTTTCACGCTATATTCCAATTATTATTCACTAACCCAATTCATGAAGTTCCACCAACTC